AATGCGGCCGATAGGTCGAGGAGGACGAGGAGGCAGAGGGAGCCCTGGTCGCAGATGGTCAAGATGTCATTGGTGACCTTGACCAGGGCGGTTTCCATGCTATGGGCAGCACGGAAACCCGACTGGAGGGGTTCAAATAGTGAATGGGTGGAGAGGAAAGAGCGCAGCTGGGAGGCGACAACTCTTTCGAGAACCTTGGACAGGAAGGGGAGGTTGGAGATGGGCCGGTAGCTTGATAGCTGCGACGCATCAAGGGAGGGTTTTTTCAGTGTGGGAGTGATGGTGGCAGTTTTGAGGGGAATGGGAACAGAGCCAGAGGAGAGGGACAGGTTAATGGTGTCTGTGAGAAGTGTGGCAAGGAGGTGGAGCTGGGAGATAAGGAGTGGAGTTGGGATGGGGTCAAGGGAGCAGGTGGTGGGTTTCAAGGACAGGATGAGGTTGGTGACAGAGGGTGGGGAAACGGGTTCGAAGGTGTGTAGGGGAGGGTGGGTAGGAGTCGGAGTGTGGGAGGGAAGGGGTGGGTGGAAGTTGGAGGGGCAGTGTCCGCGGAGCGGATTCCCTTGATTTTGGATTCAGGGAAATCCAGCATCTCCTCGCAGTGAAGGATGGAGATGACCTGCGCTGGGTGGCGGGGGGGATGGAGCAGTCGGGATATGGTAGAGAACAGAAGCCTGGGGTTGATCTTCGCCTCCAGGATTATCCTGGAGTAGAAGGACGACTTGGCCGAGGCTAGAGTGGAGCGGTAGATTTTGAGGAGGTCCAGCCAGATTTGCCGGTGGACCGTTAGGCCAGATTTGAGGCAGGTGCGTTCAGCGGCCCGCACCTGGCTCTTCAGTGAGCGGAGGTGGGTGGTGAACCAGGGGGAGGAGTGAGAGTAAGAGACAGTACGGGAGGTGATGGAGGCAAGAGTGTCGAGTGTGGAGGAGAGGGTTGTGGAGGAGGGTGAGAGCAGAAATGGGGTCAGTGAGGGATGAAGGCCAGAGGGAGAGGAGTTCAGAGGACTCCAAGGCAGCGGTTAGAGATTGTGGGGGTAACTTCTTCCAGGGTCGGTAGAAGATGTTGGTGGGTCTGGTGGAGCTAGGGAGGGGGGTGGAGGTGATGAAGGAGATGAAGTGGTGATCGGAGATGGCCTTTTCGGTAATGGTGACAACCGAGACACTGAGGCCCCGAGTGATCACCAAATCGAGTGGGTGGCCATGAATGTGAGTGGCGGAGTTGATGTGGAGGGAGAGGTTGAGCGAGGAGAGCAGGGAAGAGAAGTCCGAGGAGGTGGAGCAGGAGGGGGTGAAGTGCAGGTTGAAGTCGCCCAGGATGATGAGGCGATCAGAGCAGAGGCAGAGAGATGTTAGGAGGGTAGAAATGTCGGAGATGAAGGTGGGAGAGGTTTTAGGGGGCCGGTAGAGGAGGAGGATTTTGAGTGAGAGATGGGAGGGGTGGGAGAGGGTGAGGTGCTCAAAAGAGGGGAAAGAGCCAGAGGAGTAGGGGGATAGGGCAAGTGGTGTCCTTGGTGGTGTCCTTGTCCCAAGTGGTGATAGGGCTACTACACCACCGCCAAGGCGGTTGGGGCGAGGGATGTGGTGGGAGGTGTAGCCGGGTGGTGTGGCCTCCATGAGGACTTGTGTTAGCTGAGCAAATGGGGATGGGGGCAGAGGAATGGGGTACAAGCAGGTCAGGGAGGTAAGGAAGTTATAGAGCATGAAGGGATTTGTTCGCGAAGATGAGGATCTTGACATGACAATACATTGGCAGCAATTACAATAACATTAAAGTAAACTGAAAGTAGGTGTTCTCAAATATCAGTTAATGCATTATCTTGTACATCACAGAGCTAAATGCACCAGGATTGTTTCAGGTTAGATACCTAATTTGTCTTGAGTTACCTCAGTCAAAGCAGCAGTGAGGAGGCAGAGGATAACTGGAGGCCCTCAGCCTGGGAGGGAAGTTTAACACGCAGCCCAGTTTCTCCATTCCTGATCCTATCTAATGTCCAGCAGCTACGTGCATATTAAATGAGCATGCCCTCGAGAATTGAACAGTCTGCAGTACTCACTGATTTCCATAAGATACGCATCTCTAAAAAACAGCAATCCTTTGTTACCCATTCATGATGGGATATGAACAGTTTAGGCTCATACATTAATGGCTACCCAAGTGAAACTGGTACCAAAGCTCCACAGTAACATTCAGCGTCAGAGAGGAGGGGAGATACTAGATTTTCTAAAAAATAAACGCAGTTTGGTAATGAAACAAAAGCAATCGAGTTACAGCCTTTCATGGGCAACTGAAAGTACAGGGAATTGCTAGGCAGCTTGATGGTAGCTTTTTTTAAAAAAACAAATTGAGAATCCAAGTGAGAACCCAAATTGAGAACAATGAGGCTCATAGTACAGGAGTATACAAAGGGTTAACATAGCTGATAATTCAAGAAGTGGTTAGGTGAACCCAAAGTTGGGTTTTAAATACCTGCAGATTGTCTGAGGAAGGACAGAAGCAAAGAGCTCTACAATCTTGAGAAAGAATGAGTAACTAAATCCAATGAGTTTTAATTTCAACACAGCGAGGATTAAGGAAGGAAGTGTTCAATCATTTACAGAAGAGAAGCTTGGGGAGTGGTAACAAGTTTTAAACTTGGTAAGCTAGGAACAATACTGCAAATGTGGTACAAAAATCTCAAGGGGAGAGAACAGACGAGCAAAATTAAATTGGCTTGTGAGGAGAATAACACCAGCAGAGACTTGGTGGACCAGATGATCTGTTTTGGTGCCATAACATTCCATGATGAGAGAAAAATCTTAAGCAGCCCTCATCTCAACCTGGTATGAACGTGGATCTGGATGCTCACAACATGACCTTGATATAGTTGCCACACCCTCCCAGTAACAGGGAGAGAGAAGAAAGAAACTGGAAAGTGTAAATAAACCAGCGAGCAGCAACACACACAAAGCAGCCTGATTTACTTTGTTAAAATGCCAAGGGTTCTTTGATTTTCAAATCTGACCAATTTTACTTAAATACATGACACTCAACAGTAATTACGGCTAAGCACTTTGAAACATTGCAATGTGATAAGGCGCTGTATCAAATACAAAGATTATGATTTTTACGATAAGCAATCCATTGTAAGAACAGCTTTTGGTAAAACGTGAGAATTAGAAAGAAATTCTGGCAGAAACCGATAGAAGAAATAACCATTATTGATTTAACAAGTAAACAGGTAATTGAAAAGAAGAAATTTGCAAGGCTATGGGGGTAAGAGTGGGGAAGTGGGACTAGATGGATAGCTCTTTTAAAGAGCTGGCACAGGAACGATGGGCCGAATGGCCTCCTTCTGTGCTGTAGCATTCTATGATAAATATAGTGGATCGATCAATGGCACAGCAAGAATTCAATATGGGTCAATTCAATTGTAAAAACAGGATTCTCTTAAAAAATGATTCTAAAGTATAAATACATGATTGCAGGAGCCACACAACCTCACCAGTAATGTAAAATGTTTGAAGTCTGTCAAAGGAATGCAGACCGTATCCAGGACTGGCTGTTTAAAAAAAACATACTTGAAGGAAGTACTGCACTTCCTTGTGTGATCATAGATGTGATTACATATGAATGTTTACTAGTTTAACAGTCATGAACAAATTTCCTGCAAGAGATTGAATTGCCAATCTGATTTCCTAATAGCCATCATATATTTTTTGAAAAAAAATTAGTTGTCAAAACGGACACATACACTGCACAGCTCATCTATCTCCCAAATTAAAAATCTATGAAGCTCTTTCCCACAAATAAAGTATATTTATTTCCATCCAAGCTTTCCACCCTCTCCCAAAAGACACCAATTGTACACACAAACTTCACCTCCAGTTCATCAACAATGTGCGTGCCTGTAAACTTATCTCTAGACTAGTTGCGCCGGGGTGGAGGGAAGGACGAAGTGGAAAGAAGATGGACCTCATCTTTCCATGAGGCTTTCAGCCACCTTCCTCCTCCAGCTTTCCCCTCCCCAGTTTGGGCTCCCAATTGCTTGGAGTCATCCTTTCAATGTGAAAGGCAATATATAAAATGTTGATTTTTATTATATTCACCCAATACCCAAAATAGTTTCCAACACAGGTTACTGGATAAGTGAAGCACCTTAATTTTACTAGCCCATTTATTGCACCTCCCTACCTGACTGAAATCTATTAACTCAGCAAGGATTGGGATTGAACCTGGGCCCATCCAGGTTTACATCATTCAATTCCACGTTGGTTGACCCTCTACCGAGAGCTACTGTGAGAAAACAGAATCACATATGCAATTTCTGACAAGAAATACCAGATGGTGATTGGGAAGTATGGCTTTCATATAAGTTTCCTGGCATCTAAACTGGTATTATCTAAAACTGCTACCCCAACTGCAACCAGTCTTGGAGCTTTTCATCACGAGAGAAAATTTACTCAATAGAATTTGATAGAACCCATTTAATTGACACTAATTCACTAGCTTTTCTTTGGACTGAATCGCCAACCATCTTACTCAAAAATTCAAGGTTGATCTGATCCTCTCTCTCTCAGGAAAAAAAGCAATACCACACCCAGTCCTATTGAACAATGCAAAAATCTAAATGCTTCTTTTAAAAAAAACTTAAGAGATGTTATTGCAATTACTCAGAGAGGTTTATTTTTCCTGTTGAATGAAAAAAAGTCTGCTAGTTCCCAAAGTATTTCCACGTTACGAGTTAACCACACCCCATATTTATTTATAAGATAAGTGACACCATTTCATTTGCTGGCCTTTAACATTTTATGACCTGCCAAGCTATTCCATCTACAGAGTTGCTTGCTGCTGGAAGCCAATCTAACAGAAATCCCCATTTTTTCAGGAGAATTATTGTTACATGAATTAATGCTGAAAGCATAGACATCCTGAATAATAAAAAGGTTAGCAAATAATATGCTTAATAGGCACCTATCAAAACAATTTGACACACATAGATTTAGCTATAAGTGGTTGTCACTTACGAGATATAAGCAGGGTAAACGAATCCGATCAAGTTGCAAAGTAAAGATGCTGCATATCCGAACACAAGGTAAACGGAAAGGACCCCAATGACAGCTATTTAACAAACAGGACAAAGTGACAATTAAAAGCAATTTATTTCTTTATACAGTGCAAATCCATCTCGAAGGGGCCAGACAGAATCTGTCACACCTCGCTTATTTTAAAAATACATTTTAACTCTTGCAAAGAAGTGTTCACCACATCCCACGTGGAAGTGAAATGTCTTGCTTTTTTTTGGCCAACTCGCTGCTTAAAGGCAAAACCTGGACAGAATAATAATAATCCTTGCATTTGATATAGTGCCTTATCACGTCCTTTGCGACATCTCAAAGCGCTTCATAGAACATACTGTAAAGTGAACGGACTGTATATTTTGTGGACATCATTGAGACTGCATTTTGAAAGCTAAATGGTAAAACTTATTGAGTGCAAAAACATCAGGTTGAAATGGCCACCTCCCCAACTCAAATTACATAAAGAGATCTTGCCACGATGGGCCCTGGTTTATAAATATAATCACTTAGCGTCCCTCGCAGACTTCTGTAAAATGAGACACTATTTGGCGTAGCCCGATCTCAGGTTACAGCATAAAATGCCCATCTGGCGTTAAGTAACACTGATAACAGCCGCAGTACAGCTCGAACCAATGCCTCCTCCAATCTTTTCAGTAAAATATGGCCTTTTTTTTTCCCCTCTCCCCAGATGATGTCGTTGACGGTCCAATTTAAATCCGGACGAAACGCTTTGCTCACAAAATACAGTCAATCCACATTACAGTGCACATCCCGTGAAGAGCTTCAAGACATCCGGACGAAATGGAAAGCGCTGTGTCAAAATGCAAAGATTATTATTGTTGTTGTTATTATTATTATTGTGGTGAAATAACTGAAGAGTCTAACATCAGGGAACATAACATATGTGGCTGTGCGCAGTGCACTGCATTGCCCGAGCCCTGCCCCGCCCTGCCCTGCCCCGCACTGCCCAGCCCTGCCCTGCACTGCCCAGCCCTGCACTGCCCAGCCCCGCACTGCCCTGCCCAGCCCTGCACTGCCCTGCCCCGCCCCGCACTGCCCAGCCCTGCTCCGCACTGCCCAGCCCCGCACTGCCCTGCACTGCCCTGCCCCGCACTGCCCAGCCCCGCACTGCCCAGCCCTGCCCCGCACTGCCCAGCCCTGCCCCGCACTGCCCTGCCCTGCCCAGCCCCGCACTGCCCTGCACTGCCCTGCCCCGCACTGCCCTGCCCTGCCCAGCCCTGCCCCGCCCCGCACTGCCCAGCCCTGCCCCGCACTGCCCTGCCCTGCCCAGCCCTGCACTGCCCAGCCCCGCACTGCCCCGCACTGCCCAGCCCCGCACGGCACCGCCCCGCCCCGCACTCACCCAGCGCCGTGTAGTGCCTCTTGACGCCCGTCTTGCTCTCGACTTTGCCCAACGCGTTGCCTAACGCGTTGTCCTCGTTGAGGAACTTCTTCAAACGCTCCAACATCGCTGCCGCCATGGCTCAGCCACCACCGCACGGGGGGGGTGCGGGTGCGGGTGCGGGGTGCGGGTGGGGGTGGGTTTCCCTTGGCTGAGCGGAGAGGCTCTGCTCGGTGCTCGGTGCTCGGTGCTGGGCTCGGGCTCGGGTCTGGGCTGTGGCTGTGGCTGTGCTGTTGTGTGTGTGTGTGTGGGGCTGAGCTAACGCGGCGGCGCGGGGACGGGGAGGAGCCGAGTCGTGGCTGTGCTGCTGCTGCTCTGCGCTGCTTCTCGGGCCCCCACCCCCCCCACACCCCCCCCCTCAGCCTGGGGGAGGGCGTCACAATCCCCCCCCTCCCTCCCTCCCTCGCAATGCATTTAAAGGGCCCGACACGGGCTCTCATGCACAGAGCTCTCACCGCACCACCCGCATTGCATGTCACAAGTTCTCTGCAAAAAAAAAATTTTTTTTTTTTTCTTTCTCCCCACTCTCCTCCTCCTCATCGTCGATGCACCGTAGAGACGGCAAAAATAAGGCTTTGTATAATTATAATAATAAGAATAACACTAGTCGTCATCATCGTGATCCTTGCATTTGACCTGCACGGTTGTGGAGACGTCTCGCGGCGCTTCACAAGATAGATAGGCTGTGGAGTGGATTGGCTGTGTGTTTTGTGGGCGAACTGCATCAAATGCAAGGGGTTATTGTTCCAAGGCAGCGTAGGTTTCACGCTAGTTTTATAGCCTGCAGATTTCGCTATGTTCTTCGTGCAGTAACCTGTAATCGCGGCCAAGGGATTTATTTGTTACCGGCTCAGCGCATAAGCGGTGAATTTGAGAATAGTCAGTCGTGCACTGACTCTCTCACTGCTGTCGTTATATTGCACCCCTACTCCCAAAGGTGCTGTCGCAGACCCACTGCTAATCTCATTGTAGTCATTATACAATATCTGGCTCTCATTCCCCAATGGGCTGTCACAAACTGACTGTGCAATGTTACTCCCATCGTACACAGTGCAGATGTCACTATAGTTAAGGCAGCTGCACTCCCATACTTTTCCAATGTTTTAAAGCTACAGTCACAGATGACTTGTGATAAGCTGTACAGTACAATCACCTAATAGGGAGTGGACCCTTTGCACTTAGGAAAACATATACTTACCTAATAATGTCTCACTCTCCCTGACTGCAAACCATTGAGTGAGCCAGGGAGTGTGTCAAATTTGAATGCATACAGTTCAAGAAAATGTTCAGACAGCATCCTGTAAGGCCTATTCATTCCTGATGTTGCCAAAGAGTTTATAGGATTATCAGCTCCGGTTCTATTTTTAGAGATATTTACTGGCAGTCAAGAAGCCAGTGAGCAGAAATGTTCATGTTGTACTTGGGTGTAGTTCAGCTTTCTCTGGGTCGAAAGCAAGGTGAGTTGGCAGTGAACCTACTCAGCCAGCCACACGACTCTCAAAAGCACTCTAAACTGGGGCAAGGGACTTAGTTTGCATGACGCACATATCATTGCTGCCAGTAAAGGTTCACTGAGAAAGTTTAAAAAATAACATCACCCACATTATCATGAAAAATTAATGCACAACTGTGAATTACATCTCCATTATCTCCTGCCTTAAAGGTATGTTTTTATCCGCAGCAAACGTGTCATTGCAGCAACCAGCAGCACTTTGCATTAAAGGAGTCTGGAGGACATTACTTGAGGATAAAGAATGTTTCTCTGCTATCAAAGGAATATTTTATGTTTCTGGTGCCCAATGGAAATTCTTAAGTACAATACTGTATTAGATTTACTTCAGGTAATTATTACTGCTAAATTTAGGTGTGTTAATTAATTTTAAACATGCAAGTAGAAAACGAATTCTAAGGCCTGGAATGGACTAAATTTGCACAGTAATATGTTCACACCTGAATTAAAAGCATTATGAATGAATTTAATTAATCTTCACTTGAATTACAGGATTTTTAATGTAGATTATTCTAAGGTATACTGGCCAAGAAATTGGTTGCAAAGTCTGAATTGATCTCAATATAAAATATATACCCTGTTTTTCACCTTCTTTAGGAGAATATTGCAAGATATTATTATATTAATACATTTTGCTTCATCTTCACATTGCTTTTACGTATGATTTTTTTTGGAAAATTATATTCTTTACACAATAACTTCCAAATTTAGACCTCATTTCTGCCTAAATTTTAGACCTAGTTTTCTTGCCCTTTTTATGAATATACATCACCTCGTTTACATTTGACTATCAATCTTGATTGCTGCCCACAGCATGGAAACAGCTCTGGTCAAAGTCACTAACAACATTCTAAACCTCTGGGACCAGAGCTCTCTCTGCTTCCTTCTGTCCTCCTCACCCTCTCTGCTGCCTTCAACACTGTCGACCACTGGATCCTCTGACACTGCCTCTCCTCTCAGCTCAATGGGCGGGTTGGTAGGGGGTTAGGAGGTCGCAGATGTAGGGTGGGGCGAGGCCATGGAGGGCTTTGTAGGTGAGGACCAGGATCTTGAACTGGATCCTCTGAAGGATAGGGAGCCAATGGAGTCCAACTCAATTCAATGTCAACAAGACTGAGGCTCTCCTGATTGGCTCCCGTCAGTGCCTCCATATGTCGGGCACTGACAGCAGCTCCCTCCATGGATGCACACTGCATCTCACAGAGGTAATACGGAACCTCAGGTCCCGTTCGACCCTCAACTGTCCTTCATACCCCACATCCATGCCATGCCCTGCTCCACCTTTCCTTGCCTCCGTAACATCACCCAGCTCCGCCACTGTCTCACTCCGCAGGCCGCCAAGACCCTCATACACACATTCATAACATCCAGGCTCGACCTCGCAAACTTCCTGCTTGTCGGCCTCCCAACTTCTCCCTCCATAGGCTGCAGATCATCCAGAACTCTGCAGCCCATGTCATCTCCCGTACCAGGCTCTATCACCCCCATCCTCGCCCAACTCCACTGGCTTCCCATCACCCAGAGGATACAGTTCAAGATCCTGGTCCTCACTTTCAAAGCCCACCATGGCCTTGTTCCCCGCCAACCTCTGCGACCTCCTAACTCCCTACCATCCTGCCCGCTCTCTCTGTTCTGCAGGCTCCGGGCTGCTTCAAGTCCCCCGTCTCACGCGCCCCACCCTCTGGAACTTCATTGGCAGACATGCTTCAATCATTCTGTCCCACCCTCTGGAACTTCATCCCCCACTCCCTCCGCCTCACCCCTTCCTTGCCTCCTTCCAGGCCTTCTCAAGATCCTCCTTTTTGACCGTGGCTTCGGCTACTCTCCTTCCCCCTTACCCCCCACCCTGCCCAATGCTGACCACAAACTCGGGTCTGAAACACTGATTGTCCAGCGCCTTGGAACATCCTCCTGACATGAAAGGTGCTATGCAAATGTAATTTTGTTCTTGTTGTGAGAATGATGCTGACATTTCACTTATAATTACTGATAATCTTTGCATTTGATATAGGATCTTGTTGCATCATTGAGATATCTCAAAGTGCTTCACAGAATACACTGTAAAAGTGATACGACTGTGTGTATTTTGTAGGCAAAATTGGAGGAGGATTGCAGAACTGGTAAAGAATATCAACATGAAATTCCATTAACTAGCGACAGATGAATATTTGATGTGCCTTAAACTAGATGCTCTCAAGGACCCTCCTTGTCGAAAATAATTTGAGGATCCTGCTTGTATGTGGACCCCAGTAACACTGGGTTGGTATTGACAGCAAACAAATATAAGAATTAAACATTGGAGAATTTCAGTGCAAAGCAATGTTCTTGCTTTTTTTAGATGTTTATGCCAAATATAAGTGTGAACATGTGGAATAAAATATATTTCTCCATATAATCATTGACACATTGTAAGGGGGCTGTGGGGAGTGGGGCAACTCTTCCACTAATTCTTCAATAAAAGTATCAATATCACTGTATCATGTTGAAACACCTCAAATCTGTTCACACTTTGAGTTTTCTGTAAAGTATAATGGCTGTATCTGTAGAAAAATGCAGCAGCCAAAATGCGCACAGCAATTTCACAAACAACCATGAAGTGAATGTACAGTTTTTTATAATAATAATCCCTGCATTTGACATAGCACCTTATCACGCCTTCTAGATATCTCAAAGCACTTCACAGAATATACTGCAATTCTGTATGTTTTGTGGGTGAAACGCGGCAGCCAATTACGCACAGCAGTGTCCCACAAACAGTCATGGATTGAGTGACCAATTTATTTACTTTTGTTTTGATGGAAATATTACCCCCGAAAAAGCGATCCGTCAATTGACTAACAACCAGTTCCTATTTACTTCTAGGTAAACCGGCGTGTGGAGTAAGGAAACTTGCCCAATGTTTCGCCCTGCCAGGAATCGAACCCAGGTTTCTCGCTTGTGAGGCGAGCGCTCTAACCAATGAGCTATAGGATTCCATCTGGAAATTATTGGCCAGGTCATTGTGAGAAACTCTCCTCTTTTCGGATAATGCTGTGAGATCTCTGACATCCTCCTGAACAAGCAGAACTGGACCTCAATTGAACTTTTCGTTCTAAGGATGCCACCTTCAACAATGCAGTGCACCCCCACTGCACTGGAGTGTCAGACCAGGCTGTGAGCTCAAAATCCTGATGTGAAGCATGAACCCTATCTTTTCATATCCATCTTCAACTCCAGGACCACTGCTTTCCTGACAGACTCCCTGTCGGACATCAAGTCCTGGATGAGGGCAAATTCCTACAGTTGAATGTGAACAAGACTGAGGCCCTCCTGATTGGCTCGCGCCAGCGCCTCAGCACCTCAGGCTCTGGCAGCATCAATCTCCGTGTTTGCACACTACAACTAACCAAACCAGTCAGGAACCTGGGTGTCTTGTTCAACCCTCAACTGTCTTTTCTCCCCCACATTCAAGCCACGACCCGCTCTGCCTTCCCTCACCACCATAACATCAACCGACTCACCCCTCAGGCCCCTGAAACTCTTGTTCATGCCTTCATCACCTTCAGGCTCGACTATGCAAACTCCCTGCTTGTCAGCCTTCCCAACTCCTCCCTCCACAGGCTGCAGATAATCCAGAA